CAAGCCAGTGGAGCCCTCAACAAGTATGTGATGTGAAGTAAGAAAGCCTTGGTTTGACCACTCTCTGAGTGACCTTAAATAAGCTCCATAGTCAGTCTGAGCCTTAATGTTTTTGCCACAAAATATATAGATCTTAATAATATTTCCTTGGTTGCTCTAAGAATCAAATAACATTATTTCTGAGAAAGCACTTAACCATAAATACTGTAAAATCATCAAAGCCACTTAAGAACATACATGTTATAGTAACATCATACATCTTGCAGCAGAATCCAGAGCACAGGAAATCGTTAACAGGAGGAGGAGGTGATAATCTGGCGAGGCTGGTATCATCCTCTCGTCTGTTACTGACTTGTTGGATAACCTCTCTAATGGAGATACCGTCTTCTGGGGACATTCATGTCTACCCCACTCATAAAGGTGTAAAAAGAGTTAAGTAACATAGATGAAGTTCCCTGAGATCTTCAAAATTCTGCCTCACACCAAAACATGTTAGTTGTCCCTGAAGCCGCAGATGTTGTGTGAATGCAGCGTGTCCCTCAGTAGGCAATCCCTCCTCCCAGTTGGCCCCACAGTCCACACAGGCCCCCAGGATCACGCCCTCAGAACTGGAGAAAGCCTGGCAGGGAATCTCTTCAGCCAGTGAAAGCTCTCTGCGACTCTGTGTGAGCGCCCTTCCATTCTTGCCGCTGAATGTTTCCCATTTTCTGCTCCCACCTTGACGTTCTCCATTCAGGGACTCCTTCTGCTTTCCTCGCCAGTGGCCACCTTCCCCAACCCATACTTTCCTCTTCCTTCCCTGCTACCTGCCTTCTCCCCAAGCTCCCAGTCTTAGTTTTCTGGCCCCTCACCAGACTCACCTGAAGAGGAGGGAGTTATGCTAGAGCAGATGATGGAGAGGCCAAGAGAATGGGAGAGACAGGTGGGAACAGTGCTTCTGAAAAACATCCCGCCAACAGCATTCACTGTACTTTCTGCAAGCCAGGAGAAGCCTGGTTAGAATGAGAAAGAATGAGCAGGATCAGTAGGTTCTTGCTGAGCCCCCCACTACAGAAGTCACTATTCAGAACTGGGGTGTCTCAGCCCAGTCGGATACCTTTTACTTGAACTTTGGGCAGGCCCTCTGTATCTACAAACCTAACAGGATGTCTCTTCCTTTTTTTCTTCCTAACTTGTCAGTCTTGGTAGAGTGTCAGTGCTGGTCCACAAGAAGGAGTTGAAAAGACGCTCTTTAGAGAACAGGCATCAAAAACCAGAGAAAAGTATCTGCATTGGCCACTCCCCCCACACCGCTGGAATTGTAAAGGACACTGCTGCCCCTTTAGTTTATCCCCTTGCTGTGCTGTTTCTTGGGCTCCAGAGCTCAGTTGTCACCTGCTCAGAACCCCTCTGTCAGAGCTACTTACTGACATTTTATTCATAGTACCGCTTCTTTGATTAGCATATGTGAGAGCAGACTGTACCCTTAACTCTGAATCACATAGCTGCAATATAATCACTTGCTTTATTGATTATCTGAAAGTTTTTTGTTTTTTTAAATCCTGAGTTGGCTTCCCCATGTAATCCAAGTTATTTCTCAGTTGGTTTCATTTATCATCAGTTCCTTTCTACTGAAAAGAACGGTTGATTTTTTGCCTTCAAATGATCACATACTCTGTGCTAAGTGCTTTATCTCTTTAATTTTCAAAATACCTTACTGTATTATTCTCAAGTTACAGATAAGGAAACTGAGGCTTATAGAGGTTAAGTAACATACCCAAGTCACTCAGCCAAGGAAATGGAATTCATATCTGACTCCCACATCTGTATAGCCCAAAATAGAGTGGTTTAAAGTGAAGGAGCTTATATGACCTTCTCCCATATGTTATAATTCTAGTGTCTGCTTTGGACTTTGTGTCTCTTCCTAACGCAACGATGGACTTGCCATTCCTGGCTATAAGTTCAGACCTGAAAAGCCATCGACTTCCACTCATGTTAACTCTTCATTTCTCCACATTGAAAGCAACAATTAGCAGACCTCATCTGTTTCATGTATAATATTGAAAGCCCTTTTGGGGTCCCTATAAGCAATATGGAGGAAAATAACAAGAAAGAAAAATATTAACATTTCTACTGAGTGATACTGTTTCAAATCCACGCATACATATAAATGAAAGTTGTGACTGCCTGATTAATCTGAAAATAAGCCCCATTTAGTAAGACAGTTCTTGAAATACCTCTGCTCTACCAACACAGCACCTTAATAATTATAGAGAGCGTTTTCCTTTAAGGAGCTCCCAAGTGCTTTGCAAACATTTTTCCTCATTAACTATCACACCATTTTCTGTGGCAGGGAAGGGAACAGGGTACTCTGTCCTATTTAAAATGTGGGACTGCTAATGCAGTGAGTGATTGAAGCAGGTTGCCCTCAGGTCATGTGCTGACAAGGCCTAGACTAGAGGCCTCAGGGGTTGTGGGTCAGGCTGGGCAGAAGGCCACCAAATCTGCAAAGGGCCATGGCAAGTGCTTGGTCCAGCTCCTCACTTTCAGAAGGGGAAACAAACCCAGGGAGACTTAGAAAGCCCAGGGTCACGCAGATAATGAACAGCTGAACCAATACTACATGGATGCAAACAGCATACAGATGTATGCTATGAAGGGGAAGGTAACAACTGTGAAGAATCAATTTATAGTCAGATTAGAAGGTTGTGAAAGCAAAAAGCCTTCAGAGTGACCTTGCCTAGAGGAAAAACACACTGTAAGAAGGTGAAAGTTTCAAACAGCAAGAGCATTTTAACATAAAGTTTCAACTTCCTAGCAGCCAAAACACCATCTGGAACTTAAGAAGGCAAGCTGCCCATTAAAGGTGACAGGTGGATAAGTTTTAAAAGATAGTTGACCAGCCTATCGTAGCCTCTAGAAAGTATACTCAAAGCACATGAATGGCAAAGACCAGCTTGAGTTCAAGCATGTTTACAGCTGACAGAAATGTTCCAGCTAAAAATAACACTCATGACTCTCTCTCTTAGGGAATCTCTCATTTCCAAAGAATGTACCTACATAAACACCATACATAGCCTAAATGCATCATTTGGGAATGAGGCTTCCCCAAATTTGCCCGTTTGTCCAAAAGTGAACTTCTCTTCTAACCCTGTGATCCTACTGACCATACTGTCCCATCCGTGAGAATGAAAGGAAAGAAATCAGAGAAGAGTCCAGAGGAGAGGGAGCTAGGCCAAAACGTTTGTGAATAACTAAGGGAAAAAGAGTTCAAAGACCAATGACATTGGTTAAGAAATTTGTGAAGGGATTCCTGAACAAAACTGCCATTTCTTACCATCATGTGCTTCAGAACATGTCCTTTTATGTTTACAAACACAATGGAAAAAGGTTTCTGAAGAGATAAAGTTTCATACAACAGATCATGAAGCACTAACACTGAGCCTGACACATACTAAGCACCAAATACACGCCGATTGTTTTCATTGCCATTATTACCATGACACCTCAAACCTCTTCTGCTTCATAATAGGAAAAATGGAAACACAGTCAAGGCCCATGTTTTAATTGGAAGTTAACTCAATTTTAAGAAATAGATTTCCTACCCTGATACATAGTCCAGATGTTGAACAATGACCCTAGAGAGGTTCAAAGGCTTTGGGCTTTACTCTGGGTTATGGAAGAGTACAGAGGAGGACTTTCTTCTCCATGGTGGGTGCCTCCACTAGGCAATCAGTAATGAGATGGAAACACCCTAATGCATCTCGTCTCACCTGTCAAGAGCAGAGCTGAGAACTAACAGTACCAACCAAAACGAGACTCTGTTTATCCAAAGAGATGTCACAGGCCCATGGACATTACTTATAGAGGAATACTTCATATGGTCAGTTAGTAACAATATTTTTATTTACCTTACTCCTTTTCACAAGCTTGGACATTTGGTTTCTAAGCCAACAGCAAACCAAAGCAGTAAACTGAGGAGAAAGAAGGGTTTCAGCCAACAGACTGAGAACAAAGAAAGAGAAAGCTATTTTTTAAATTGACCTGAGAGTTAAAAAATGCGTATGGAACCGTTTAATTGGGGCGGGGGGAGAGGATAGTTTTAAAATAAGAATACCATGCAAGTGTTCCCACACCACCCTTGGTGGTCTGCAAAGTGATTGCATATGTATTTATGTCAACACCAGCACAGTGAGGTAAGTAGGACTGTATACCTCAGAGGCATTTGGAGATTTGTCAGAGTATCCATGCTGAGGGTTGGCGCCCGGATTTGAACAGGACCATTTGACTCTGAGATCATTGTGTTGTCCACCACCTACTCAACCTCCACACCAGACAAGGCCAGTCCGTAGTTCAGGGCACTCAAGATAGAATAGCCAGTTAACTCTACCGTTACATTTCGGGAAGATTTCTCTCTAAAATAAATAAAATTGAGAGGGTAGCTCTTCAGAACGACTTGCTCCTATGTTGGCCAATATTTCCCAGACCTACCTCGGCAAAGTGCAATTACTAGGCAGAATACTGGAAATGGAAACTATCCCCAAAGAGCCAAGCTATGTAACCACTGTCCTTAGTTTCTAAAGATTCTAAAGAACCCGAATGCTTCCAAGATCTTTCCTCTCTCTTATTTCTTACATGTGTTTGATAAAATTAATGGGAAGTACACAGTTAAATCCACACATTAACCATGATGCCGAAAATGACCCCATAAATGTAGCCCTCCCTTTTCTCCACAGAATGACCTTTGAAAACCTGTGGTGGGTAGTCTCTTGTAGCTTTCCAAGAGAGCTGTTTTCTGGCATGGGAGGTGGAAGACTAGCCTCTCCTGGCATCCCCCGAAAGCAAGGATTCTCAGAACACGAGAGGCCAGGAAGGACTGGATCTTTCCAATCAAGGGTGAACCAACCAGATTTTTTTAAATTTTGTTTTTGTTTTTTGTCGTCTTGTTTCTCTGTCTCTCATTCTCCCTCCCTTGCTGTGTCTTGCTCTGTTCCTCTTGCTGTCTCTTCCCCCATCAACAGGTGAGAAGCCCCACCAATGCAGCATCTGTTGGCGCTCCTTCTCCTTAAAAGATTACCTTATCAAGCACATGGTGACACACACAGGAGTGAGGGCGTACCAGTGTAGTATCTGCAACAAGCGCTTCACCCAGAAGAGCTCTCTCAACGTGCACATGCGCCTCCACCGTGGGGAGAAGTCCTACGAGTGCTACATCTGCAAAAAGAAGTTCTCCCACAAGACCCTCCTGGAGCGGCACGTGGCCCTGCACAGTGCCAGCAACGGGACCCCTCCCGCGGGTACACCCCCAGGTGCCCGCACTGGCCCCCCAGGGGTGGTGGCCTGCACGGAGGGGACCACTTACGTCTGTTCCGTCTGTCCAGCAAAGTTTGACCAAATCGAGCAGTTCAACGACCACATGAGGATGCATGTGTCTGACGGATAAGTAGTATCTTTCTCTCTTTCTTATGAACAAAACGACAGAAAAGAAACAAAGCTATGGCACTAGAATTTAAGAAATGTTTTGGTTTCGTTTTTCTGTTTTTGTTTTTGTTTCGTTTCATTTTGTACTACATGAAGAACTGTTTTTGCCTGCTGGTACATTACATTTCCGGAGGCTCGGGTGAATGAGAGTTTTCCCAGCCTCCCTCGGATGGTGGCCTTAAGGCCTGGTAGTGCTTCAAGAGGTCCACTGGTTGGATCTCTAGCTACTGGCCTCTAAATACAACCCTTCTTTACAAAAAAAAAAAAAAAAAAAAAAAAAAAAAAAAATCTTTAAAAAAAGTAAAAAAAATTTTTTTTTCACTTGTGAAGAGCACTACAAAAATATATAACAAAATCTAAAAGGCCTACTGTCTTTAAGTACACCGCTTGCAGTGTTTCAGTGGACATTTTCACAATTCTGGCCGCTTGGACTTCACAGTAACCAGTTAAAACTGTGGAATATCAATCACTTCTGGTTGAAAACCCAGAGGAAAGGCCCTGCTGTTTTCCACCTACCACATTGTCTGATTTCGTAAAAGGGCTGGGGGTGTTGGGAAGGGGCAGTGGGTCCGGTGGTGTGGGGAAGGCGAACGGCAGGCTTCTCCCCCAGATTCTACTCGCATCCACACACCCTGGCCCACCTCCTCCATGTCCCCCTCTTTCAGCAGAAGCCAGGAAGACTTGGACAAGCGTCAAGCAACAGTGGCTATATCGTATTTATTCAGTGTCTTCGCTGAGCCACAGCCTCAGCACAATCAAGAGGGACTTTCATGAAAGGCAGGAATGCAGATAAAACAAAGATATCAGAGGTTTGCACCTACGTTTCTAGGTACAAGAGAAGGATTATTTCCCACAATCTTTGCAAAAAACAAAAACAAAAAAAAAGTGTCAGGATATATTCTTGTGGAAGAGAAAAAGAAAGAGAAATGGAGGGTGGGGGGAATAATAAAAAGTTCTTGAGGCTTTTTTAATTCAAAATTTTATAGAGGGGCAAAAGTGACGTTTACCAGATAGAATGCTGATTTTTTTAATATATTTACAACAGTATTTGTGTAAAAAAAAAACAAAAAAAGTGAGATTGTTAAAAGTAATTTTTTTTTCGTTTTGGTTTTGCATACACTGCCACCAGTCCCTTCTCTTTTATTTTATTTCACACACATATATATATTTTTTGGTAAGTCAAGACTGTTAAGGTTAGCGATACTGCTTCCAGATAGAAAGAATAAAAGGCAATTAAAGTTATATTTGAAAGAGAGGAAGGATATTTTCTTCATATTTTTTTTATTTTTTTCTTAATTTTTATTATTTTAAGTATTGCCTGGGTTGATGAGGGCCTCTGTGGCCAACCCATCCCTGCTGTAATTTGAACTGCTGCTTTGTATTTTGATATGTAGTTCTTTGACTTTTAGCGAGCTTAAGTTGCTCCACTGACTTTTTTTTTTTTCAACTGATCCATCTAGAATTCTGTTCTTTTTCATGGGAGGACTTTATCTTTCAGAAACAGATTTCTTGCTTCTCTAAAAGTTCATTGAGGTCTTACGATTCTAGAATTTCTCTTGACTTTACTTCTTTTCTTGAATGAAACACTAGTAGTCTAGAGGTCGTGACAAATGGGTTTTCCTTTTGTGGTCAGCCAGGAGGATGAGTTCATGCCTCCTCACCCTTCACAGCTGCGAAGAGCAGAAGCCTGGTACAGATCTGGATGCCTTGATGCCAAAATTACTTTCTTCCTTTCAAATACCACCTTCTGACTATTGCCACCATGGCTGAGAGGGCTAAATGAGATGATCATCCTTTAGAGGATGTATTAACCCTTGCTTTTTGGAAAGGTTTTAAGAAAATTAACAAAAATTTCTCAGATACCAACATCCATCATTCAAAAGGCCACCAGTTCATTGCATCATCCTAGATGGCGCTCTCTCTTCCTAGTTGGGATTTCTCTCCTCGGTCCTGATCAAAGTATTGTAATAGGGATTTTTCCATTATAGACAGTGTCCTGAAGGGATTCCAACTCAAATATGAGAATTCTTAAACCTAACAAAAACTCCAAAGGTGATTCTATTGCTGGGCATGTTTTAACACTCTTAAGGGGGAAAAGTAAATCTTTAAACAAAGCAGAAACACCAAACTGTAATTTTAAAAAAGACGCAAAGACAGAATTTTAGTTTCAAAATTACTTTGCATTTTAATTTTCCTGTCAGCAACTTATTTGCAAAACTGTGCAACAAATGAGGAGAAATCTTCCAAGGGAAGCAACTCTGTAGTGACTAAATTGGTTTTACTCATATATTTTAGATATTGGTTAACTTGGATCTTTTCCATAAGTTCTTGGTGATGTTTAGTAGGGTTAGTGCAACTGGAGTACATGTGGGTTGTATTTCGTCCTCTGGTAATATAATTTGGTAAATATTTTGCTAGAAGTTAAATGTAGACTTGGATGGTTAACTGATTATTGGGTATCACTCATCGTGATTTCTAAGAGGAGTCCTATCAAGAACTATGTGTCCAAAATTGACCTGTTTTAAAAGTTAGTGGGAAACAGCTTCAAAACTAAGAAAAAGTCCATTTTTCTCTTGCTAATTTTGCTTTTTAAAATAGCAATGTTGTAAGACTTTAATATTTCCACTTACCACCAACAGAGGGAGCATTAGTTAATTAACCATGTCCTGGGATTGTTTTGATATCCTGAAAAACAAGCCATTCAACCCATGATATAAAAAAAAAAAATTGACATTAAGGAAAAAGTTGTTTAATCTAGAGGAAAAATGACATAAAATCCCTCAGCATATATTACAAATGAAGGCGGCCAAAAGCCACTTTAAATTATTTTCAATTCTTTGACAGTAGCTGATTTAAGATAGTGTCCTTATTCCAACCTTCGCGAAGTAGGCAGAAGTTATAGTACCTCTAGAAAAGTTGATCTTGGGTGCCATTATGGGCCACATTTAGCTATCTGCTTCTCAAATCAGAGGGAAACCCATTTGCCTTAATGTTGATTTGGCACGTGGAAAGTGAAGCAGTTGGGTTAAAATAAAATCCACATTTTGTTATAGAACACATAGAGGAAAAAAATTCCAGTTGGGTTTGAAACACTAATATTCATTCTTTCCCTTCAAATGAAGTATTTCTTTTTAAAAAATGTTGGAGAACTCCCAAAGAATTCTTGGTGAGGTGTTGCAATCATTATAACCACATGGACTATCCAGGTTTGCAAAGCAGTAGACTTTTTCTTACCGTATGTCTATTCCTCTCAAACATTCATAGTCTAAAATAGTTGACAGATTTGTTCTCTGGAGAGAAGGATAAGCTAGACTGCAGTGGAAGGTCTAATCTGGGGAGCAGTGAACTTGCTGTGGGGTCATTACTATATGTTCTGACCTCCTGAAAGGGCGACTTTCCCAACTGATGTAAACCGGACTGGACCTATTTCAGAAGGATAGAGATGCTTTTAGATTGCCAATCCTTACTTTTAAATTAAATAATTACCAACACCTTAGGAAATGGGGAAACATTTTTTGCTTCAAGAATAGAGGATGAACATGAATCCTTTTATTTTTTTAGTTTCAAATCCAACAATCTTACATTTAGAACTTCATGCTAGGATGCTATGAGTGCTAAAAAAAATTTTTTTTCAGTAGTCAGGGGAAAAAAATAGATAAAATGGAAACAAATGTTCCAGATTTAAGACCTCTTAGGATGAATACAGGGAACAAGAACTGGTTTGGAAAAGAACATTTTTTTTAGTAATTTATGATTTAAAAGTGGGTTAGCTGAACAAGGGAAAGGAAAAAAGTCAAAGGGGAATATTTATGTCAAGACATTTAGATACAGTTTATGAAAAATAAAATTTCCCAGCCCTGAAAACATTGGTAGCATCCCAGCGTGGTAGGCAACTTTCCCCCATTACTTTAATAAATGCCAATATTTGTACAAAAAAAAAACCCAAGTGGTAAAATATGGCCCCCAAAAGGAAGGAATTGGAAGAGATGAATCTGATACAAATCTACACATGGGAAAAGATTAAGAAACAAGCCAGGCAAAAATAATTTGAAATGAAAGTCTTGATATCAAAATGGTTTTTACTATATCTTTTAATTGAGTTGTAAACTTTAGCTCCTGATAATAGTATATAGACTTTTTCCTGCCCAAACTCCTAATCCTCTGAAACTGTGCCATGAGTAAGTGTGGTGGATAACTTCCTTCTTGTGTTCCAGCTTTAGTCCATTCCTTCTTCATAGGCATCTTGGAGGTCACAGTAGCTCCCAGGCTTAGAAGAAAAGACTTGGATTTGCTTTGCTGAAAAGTCATGGGTTTTATTTTGTATCATCCCAATATTCTTTAAGGACCAAGAAAACCCTTTGGAACCCATGAACAGTTACAATTTGTGCATTCTGATAGGAGAAGAAAAAAGATTTCCTCCGGGTGGGAGAAGAAAAGATTTTCCTCTATGTGTCAAGTAAGTCCTAATGCCTTGACCTACATGTACCTCCATCATACAAGCACACCACAGTGTGTGGCCAGCCCATACATACCCCAAATCTGTTTTCCCTCAGCAGTTCCCTCAAATGAGGCATGCTCCTTATAAAAATCCCTCAGGTCCCCAACAGAACATAATATAAGTTCCTGTTGCTTCCTAGATGTGCTTCCTCCATAATGCTCCCAACACCTGTTGCCTTTAGGAAAGGGAGCAGTGAGGTAGACCTGGCCAGGATTCATACTCAACATGCCCATGCCGGAGCCTTCCTCTGTTGTTATGGAAGATGTTATTTAATTAGCTGAGGCTGGGAGCAGAGGATATGTGATTCTGCAGCAAAGGTATCACATAACCAAATCAGGTCTGCCTCTGCTATGCAGAAAGAACCAAAACGAAGGTACAGTGTAAGAGCAGACACAACCTAAGATGCCCTTGGGATTTGGGAGAAGGGAGGGTGCCCTTTCTGCTATGACCTGACTCTTAAAAGAAACCCCCTGAAAGAATTCTTTAATTTAGTAATGAGTTGAAGTCCAGGGTAATGGAAGCCCTGGGGAAGAGAACAAAAGGACTGCAAAGTGTATTCAGCACCCAATAAGGCGAAACCAAAAAACATCCAATCGCAACACTAGGAAGTTTGGCAAGAAGTATTTAGAGAAATCTCTGGGCTTTCCATGGGTAGTAGGGTCGACAAACTTTCTTTTGAGTGATTTCTGGCTCTGAGAAACCTCTTTACTCACTAGAAAAGAACTTTCTTTAAATGGCCAATTTTATCCCCCAGAAAAAGAAAT